GCACGAATTTGACCTGGGAGAGGTTCAAGGAGATCATGGCAGAAAAATACTATCCCCAACACTATCGCGAGCAACTGGAAAGCGAATTCTGGAACTTAACTCAAGGGAGCCGAACTGTGGATGAGTATGAGAGGGAATTCACTAGGCTAAGCTATTTCGTCGAGCACTTAGTGGATACGGATGATAAGAGGGCGAAGAAGTTTAGAAGAGGTTTGAAACCTACTATCCGACACCTAGTGGCGAGCCATGGAGATCTCCCATATGCAGAAACTGTGGGAAGGGCGCTACAAATTGAAGCAAGTATCAAGCTAGAAAAGGAAGCTACTTTGGTCATGGAGGCTCAAGCTTCGGGTAGCAACAAGAAGAGAAAATTCGAACACCCGAAGAAGAAGAAAGAAGGTGGCCAAGCTCTCCAACCCCGACCACTGCAGCAAGTGCCCGCCGTGGATAGGCAGGAATGCCACAATTGTGGCAAGAAGCACCGTGGAGAGTGTCTGTTGGGGCAAAACGTATGGTTTCGTTTCAAGAAGCCTGGACACCTGAGGATAAACTGTCCGGGAACTGGTCAACCTCCACCACCACCACAGCAGAACTTACCTCCGGCCAGACAAGGGAGGCTTAGGGAAAGAGCTCCAGCGAGGGTCTACACCTTGGCTCATTATGAGGAAGAAATGAAGAGAGAGCCGAAATAATTATCTTCTATTTAAATTGTTTGATTCCTAGATTGCATTTTTTAAAAAAAAAAAAAAACTGTTTTCGCTTTGTTTTCGCATGGGATATTGTTTCGCTTTGTTTTCGCATGGATTGGGTTTTGAAAATTTCGGATAATTTTTATTTTTATGGATTATGATCATTGTCTATATGTACTTCGTAAGCATGCATGTGATGTTGTATTGTTAATTAGATGGCGATCATCCGAGCCACGCAAACCGTTCTAGGACCAGGTTGTCGCACGTCCCGAAAGATCCGTGAGTTCCGACAGTACGGCTACGACTCCCAGAAAACCGTTGGAGTGAACGTCCAAGAGATATTTGAGTTATGGGAAGGTGCAAGGAAAATGGGAAAGGATAGGAGGATCAAGAAAGATGCACTATCCAATTGGGATGGCTGCAAGAAGCTACTCACCGTGTTGCCACTGGAGTGGAAGGCCGATGTCAATAGACTCTATATAGAGCTATTAATTGAAGGTATGAGAGATGGAAATCGAAAGAAGGGGGATGTGGTCAGCTTTTACGACTTGGTTCTAAAAGTAGGCAACTTGTGGGAAGAAAGGGAAGTCCCACTGGAGACCGGATTGGAGACCACTGAAGAAGACTCAACTGAACCAGCTGAGGAGGAGCTTAACTCGAATGGAAGTGTTGGCAGTAATTAGAAGCTAAGTCGTTTCTTATGTTTGATGAACTCTAGAAATAAGAACTTTTTCCGGGGACGGAAAATTTTTAAGAAGGGTAGATTGTAACACCCCAAACTCATGTCGTTCGTTTTATGCTTAGTATTATTTTCATGGATATTATTTATGTTTAATTTAATGATTTACAATGTTATTTTTATTTTTATTGTAAGCTCGATTTTTATGTGATGATTAAGTGAGTGTCCACACTTATTTAATTATCAAGTTAATGATTAAAAGGGAATTATTTAGATGTCCTCATCTATTTTATTTTCCTAAGTATTAAATGCAATTATGTTAATATAATTTTAATTATGAAGGCTTAATTTAATTAATATAATTTTAATTTTAATTTATTAATGAAGATAATAAATATTAAGATGATAAATTAAGCTCAAATAACAGTCCAATTTTCCCAAGCCAGATAAAAAGCTCAAGACCTTACGATATTTTATTCCCTCATCCAAGCAAGAAAGAATCCTAATTTCTATCAGTTTCCTAGTCTATTGTTCAAGAGTTCTTGTTACATATGGGAATCAAATTCCACGCTTGATAAATATCTCTCCCTTAATATATCTCACCCTCACGTCTCTCTCTCTCACCTCGGCTCTCTCTCTCTATTTTCCCGAAGTCCCCATCGTGTTCTTCACCCCTCTCTCTCCTTCGGTCTCTCTCACTTTCTTCTTCATCGACAGCCACCATCATTGTTCCAATAGCAGCACCTCCACCGTTCATCGCCATCATCACTTTCATCGTCATCGTCCGATCATCGTCACCACCATCAATCACAGTCTTCCTTCACCGCAAGCAGCAGGCCACCGCAGCTTCTCACTCCGCGCAGCGTTCCCATCGCCCTCGACCACGAGCAGCAACCGGCGATCCCCGACGTTCAGCACCTTCGCGCGCAGGCCCAGCACTTCCGCGAGCCACCACCGTGTACCGCTGTTTCCCTCCGTCACGATCAGCGCCACCGCAGCGAGCTTCCATTGCCGTTCAGCAGCTCCTCCGACGTTCGACCACCGTGCAGCAGGCCCTCCGCAGTAGCCTTCCACCGTCATAAGCAGCAACAATCATCGCCATCTTCGACCATCGTTCATCGACACCATCGAGCAGCCCCTCAACGTACACGGCCGAGTCCACCGAGCTTTCATTCGAACCCTTACCGTCATCCTTTTCCGAGCGGTAAAACCCTAACGTCTTAACCTCTTATGGACTGTTAATTTGAATTCGATTAAGTTATGTAAGAATTATTAATGTTTTAAGACTTGGTAATCGAATCTCGTATCTTGCTTAAGGTCCGAGTAAATAATTGTCGAGTTATTATTGAGTTGGAATTGGTCGGAGCCTTGTCGGGCTTCCGAAAGGATTGTTTTAATGATATGTGAATAGGGTTTATTGTTGTTAATTTATGTGTTCATAATCGTGTCTTATTGTGTGATAAACGTGCCTAGAATCATCGATTATATGTTGCTTTCGACATGTTAACTAGTTCGGAAAATTGGTATGATTTCATGTGTAATTGCTGTTTACGTGCTGTCTATTCGGGAGCAGTTTAGGCCTCTGATACTGTGTTTTCGGTTTTCGAGTTCTTCATATGATACGTAGTTCGTTCAGTTATGTTTACGTGAGCTTTGGAATCGTGCAATTTCGACTTAAAACGAATAAGTTATGATTTTTACAAAATTGACTACGCGAGCAGTTTTTCTTTAATTCGACTGCAGTTAGGTTTAAATGTTTTGTGTGTTTATGATGTGATAATGTGCTCAAATGAACCTGAAGTCTTCATTGAAATTGTACTTCTACGTGTTATCTTTCATGTGGTTCTGAAATCAAGCAAAAATATTGTCCGAGTAGTGAATGATACCTGTTTTCGTAAAACCGCGCATGAATTTATTTTAAAGTTCTGGACAGTATTTTAGCTTTGAATGTTTGCTGGTTTTGGACCATGAATATGACCTTATTTGCTTTTGAGTGCTAAATGAAAGTTGTAGTACCATGTCTTAGGAGCAATATGAGACTTGAATCATGTTAATGCGACTTGTATGTTGAAAGATATGCTCATTTTAAAAATGCAGCACGTGTTAAGTTTTGTCAAAGAATTAAGTGTAATTGTTTAAGTGAGTCTATTGTTTATAAAGCATGCTTATGTGATATGTATGAGCTGTAAAGCATTGAGTGAGATCATGATGAACCTTAGGCGATTAGAATAGTATCCGTAAGCAAGCAAGCTAAGAGTTCGATTGTCCAAATGTTTTAAGTAAGAATGTTTTCAAAAGAATGCAAGCGAGGCGAAGCCAAGCGATCAAAGTTTTTCTAAAGCTTATGTATGATTATAAGTATAAGTATAAGTATAAGTATAAGAATAAGTTCCATGTTAAGACACTAAGACATGACCCCAATGAATGTAGTTTTACGAGGAGTCGAGCCCTCGAGATTTCTTTCAAGTTCAAGTCTAAGCCGAGCATTCTACTGAAAAAGTGGGGGAAGTTCTACTTTATTAATCCTCTTTAATTATCTATGCTATGAATGAAGTTAAGTAGCTTGCATAGTACCCATGTTTATTCAATGTTCCAACATTCGAGCAAGTCGTTTGTTGCAGTACCAAGGTTCACGGACTATAACTCTAGAGGGTAGCTAAGTGCTAGGGTTAGAGGGTGTAAGTGATTATGTGTAACCTTCGTTGGTGCACTCTTCGAACGGTTGTCCCCGTCAATAAGACTGTACGGAGCCTAGTGAAAGGCTATCTTCCTTCAACCTATTGAAAGGTACTCTCATCAAGCCTAATTGGCCGTGCCATCTACGAGAGGCATTGTTCTTCACCCACCCTAAAGTGGTATAAGAAGTTTGATGAGTGGTGGGAGTGTGACAAGAATGTAATCGCCTGCATGCAAAGACTCTAGTGTTTAGTTGTGTAATAGGGTTGTACAAGCAAGAAAGTCTTTCGACTTGTGGGTCACCACTCATCGGGAGCTCATGATTATGTGGAGTATACGAAAACGATTTCATGCTTTATAGTTGATTAGGATGATAATGTAGAGGGATCTCTCACGGAGTAAGTGGAAATGCTCACCCCGTTTGTTTTCCACACCCAGGTTTTTGGCGAGCTGGCAAAGGAGCGATGGCGAGGGTGGTAACATGATTTATGTTTATGATACTTATGTTTTAAAAGCTTCCGCTATGCAAAGTTTATTTTATGAAATAAATCATGGTTCATGCAAGTCAAGTTAAAGTATAAGTTCTCAAGGCAACGCAATGAATGTTCATGTATGAAATGTTTATATTCATGAAAAGTTTTAATGTTTATGAAAAGATCATGTATGAAAAGTTTTTCAAAGTGAGTAGCACCCTGAGTTCCAAGTAAAGTTTCAAAAGTTTTATAAAAAGAAAAATTTGTTCTAGAAATTCAATGTACGAAAAGCGGGGTGTTACACCGGAATTTCTTTAAAATCAAAGTGGGGTGTTACAGTTCTTTAAACTTATCAATCGATCCATCAGCTTTATATTTCTTCTTTAGGATCCACTTACATCCTAAAGGTTTACAACCATCAGGGAGATCAACCAACTCCCAAGTATGGTTCTGCATAATGGACTCAATTTCGCTATTTACAGCTTCTTCCCAGAGTGGTCCATCTGGGCTGGACAGAGCTTCTTTAAGGGAACTCGGTTCATCGTCCAACATGTACGTAATAAAATCAAGTCCAAACGTTTTAGCCGTTTTTACCCTTTTACTACGTCTCGGTTTTTCATTAGTACCATTTGGTACAGAACCACTAGCAGTTTAAAATTTTCTTTTATTAGAACTAGATTCTGCCCTTTCCTTCATAGGAAAAACATTCTCAAAGAATATAGCATTCCTTGACTCAATCGTGGTACCAACAGATGCCTCTTGATTTTCTGATTTATGAACCAGAAGTCTATATACTGTACTATTGTACGCATATCCAATAAATACACAATCGACCGTCTTTGGCCCGATTCTCATTTGTTTTGGTTCAGGTACTGAAACCTTAGCCAAACACCCCCAGACTTTTAGGTACTTAAAAGATGACTTACGATCTTTCCACATTTCGTAAGGAGTCTCTTCTTTCCCTTTAGGTGGTATTTTATTCAGGATATGATTTTTTGTCAAAACAGCTTCCCCCCACATGTTACGTGGTAATCCTAAATTAATCAACATGGCATTCATCATTTCTTTTAAAGTTCTGTTTTTGCGTTCAGCAACACCGTTCGACTGTGGAGAATAAGGGGCCGTCGTTTGATGAATTATGCCATATTCAGAGCATATTTGTTCAAAAGGAGCTACATACTCCCCACCCCTAGCACTTCGGATTATTTTAATCCTTTTGCCGAGTTGATTTTCAACTTCGGTCTTATATATCTTAAATACTTCCACAGCCTCATCTTTGCTTCTTAACAAATATAAGTAGCAAAACCTTGTGCAATCATCGATAAAAGCTACAAAATACTTTTTATTGGTTCTAGTTTGCACACTTTTCATATCACATACATCAGTATGGATCAAGCCTAATGGTTCAGTACTTCTTTCCACTGAATGGAAAGGTAACTTAGCCATTTTTGCTTCAATACAAATTTCACATTTTGTATTTGTATCAACTTTAGAATTAGGAATTAATTCTAATTTCATCGACCGTTTAATTGCATTTAGATTTACATGTCCCAATCTATTATGCCATAAATCAGAGCACTCAACGGTATAAACAGAAATAGGCTTTTTATTATCAACGGTTACACAACTTACAGCCATTACATTCATTTTGAACAATCCCTTTTCGAGATAACCAAGACCAAGAAATTTTCCATATTTGCTAAGAATAAGCTTCTTAGCTTCAAACACCAGCCTAAATCCATGCTCAACAAGAAGTGATCCGGAGACCAAATTTTTGCAGATGTCTGTGTTAGAGGTATGCTGTAAAAGCTGTGTTTTGCAGTTTCTATCAATTCCATTT